CATGGGAAAGGTTGATAAGGGTGGGGCTTGTGGCAAGTTTTGCTTTCTCCCACCTTGACCTTTCTTTCGTTTTATATTAATAAGGAAGGGAGTTTCATGGCAAGGCTCTGCCATAGGGGGAGCCCTTCATTGGTGGCTGGTAAATCTGTAACAATTTTTTCGTCTGCCTAATCCTTCTTAGTTCTATACTGCTTTGGGGATATAGGGAGAGAACTGGCTACATATTTTGTGAACCCCAGTGCAAAATGAAAATGCATGACCTTTGTTTAAAATTTTTTGAGAATCTCAAAATGGTGACAGCAGAGCCAAACCAAGCATGAGGACTTTCTGTATTAAGGGCCCTGTGCAACTGCACATATTGCACACCCATCAAGCCTCTTTGGGCGGGAGTGAGTCAGGTAGTGGGATGGGGATATGTGGTGAAGAATGAGGTGGGGCTTCATCGGACCAAAAGACACTATCACCTCAATCCAAAGCCAAGAATGATGAGAATTCTCCAGTTGCACTGAATGTGAAAAATGACACAATTGTTACTGCAGTTTGGTGTCCAGAGAGTTTTAAGGTATTGCACTTAGATTTGGTGGCAATCAAGAGCAGACTTTATTTTGCAAATGAGAAGCAGGCCGAGGTAGAAAAGGTGATCAGAAGATGATCACATTGCTTGGTAGCGGCAGATGGGGACTAAATCTCAGACCTTCCAACTTTCATGCCCTTTGCAGTCCTTAGCGAAGCTAAGCAACAATGAAATTGTTCTCTATCACTGTAGATTAAGTTGGAACTTGCGAATAAGGGTGAGCTGAAGGAAGGGAAATGAGATAAATGATAATTGGAGGAAGAAAACAAAACAGTTTAGAAAGCCAAAGCAATTTGTCTGAGTCCGATCTGATACACAACATACAGCAAAGCAGACAAATGTCTGCACAGCAAAACAAAACTGCAAGAAGAAGATATTTTCAAATAAAATACGCATATTTCCAACCATCCTTGAGCTCATCTGATAAGGGACAGATTGTCCAGAGTAAATAGAAAGAGGAAAAAAGATGCTTTGGGCTGAATTTAGTCCCCTGTCAAAATCACAGGGAAATTTATTGCTTTTCTTTCTCCTACTTGTCATCTCTCCAATGGCCGGCCTTATGGGACTGTGAAGGGAGACAGAGTAATTCTTACATGCATACGTTTGTTCATTTATCCATCCATCCATCCAACATTTCTTGAGCACCTCTATTAGTATTGTACTAGATTGTACTATTAGCATTTTACTGTACTAGATCCTAAAAAAAATGTTTAAGACATAGTCCTTACTTTTAAGGAGAGTAGACAGATATGTGTCAGGGGAGAAAAATAATCATAATAGATAATAGAGTATAATACTGGTGATGCATGCTGGTGTGCCATTGGAGCTAAAGAGAAGGAGAAATTTATACTGCTTATATTTCTCAGTTGATAACCTGCCTGCAGGTTCCTGGTTGCCTCCACAACTGCAGCCAGTATTCATTCATCATCACTATGCTCCTCTTTCTCAAAAGACTCTGGGGGAGGGGGCACAGCTGGGCAGTTGGATGTGGCATTCTTGTATACGGTACCTATTTAACCTTTGTGAGGCATGTCTATGTACCAATCTTTCTTTGCATGATCCTCCAGGGGAAAACCTGGGGTGGAGATGAGTCTCGTTCAGACCTGGTGAGAATCCATGCCTACTCGTACTTTCTTCTGGTCATCTGCTACCTTAAACACGTATGTAAGAGAACAGCTCTGCTGAGGCCAGGGAGAGAGCCAGCTATATGATCATTTGATTGGAGTGTTACTCTGTCTCCATCTGAAAAATGGCAGGTGGGGAGGAGGTCTCATGAACCAGTGCTTTCTAACCCAAAATAAGTAACGAATAAGGATTGAAGTAGAAAAGAATGAGCGATACACCATAAAGGCTTCAAAGAAGAGAGAGCAGGGACAAGACACCAAGAGAAATGATCTTGAGGCATCCATGTAAAATTTTGCTGTGATTACATGCTTCTTAGCTCTTGAGCATTTTACTCACCAGGAGATCTGTATGTAGTCTATGATATGACTGGAAATAGTAGACATGAAATGAATCCCATGTGTCATCATATGTCCCATCATAATAGCACTGCACATTTATGCCAATACTTAGCATTTGCAAAGCTCATGTCACCTCCAGAATTTCATTTGCTCTCTCAAAAGCCCAGGGAGGTGGGTAGGATCTATATTGTAATTCTCAGAAGAAGCAGCTCAAGCTTGGGGATGATCCCATTGAGTGGCAGATGAGAGACCAGAGCCCAGGTTTCCTGTGTGATGTTCTTTCTACATCTTGTGCCTCTCCTTGATGCACTGTTCCTTGATCCAGTTATCACAGTGTGTAGTGTAACAGGAGCACAGCATGAGCTGGAAGAAGTGTACAGTGGTCACTGGAGATGTAGTGATAATTAGATAGTTGCCATGTGGACATTTGATGCCTTCTCACAGAGTTACTTGCCTTTAAAATAACATACTTCAAATAGTAGTGCATCAATTGGTCCCACTCTTAACAGACAAGGCTGGCATCCAGCATCTCTAGGCTCTGCCCTCACCTTTTTGCCCCCATCCTGAGCCATCATAAAGACACTTGGAGCTGAGTGGAAGCAGTATTTGTCTCACAATTACTTCTAATTGCCTTGTAGTTTTGTGGTGTATAAGCAGAATGACCTAAATACCAGTTATATGAAACTCCCTTTTCATCCTGGGGTCTGTATTAAGGAAGAGGTAAATCAGGGAATAGTGGCTCAGTGCATCTCCCAAATAACATTTATATGTAACGCCACCATCTTCACTTGTCAAAATGCCAGGTCTCCTTAACAGGCTAAACCTAAGGTTGACTCCCTCTGTGAAGCCTCTCTGGATTGTTCCTTCTTCTAGATTTCCATAGTGCTTGTCCTGATCCTACCTTTGGTGCTCATCATTTTCTGCATATTTCATCTTCCTGAACTCCTCATGCCAGAGACTGTTTCTAATTCATTTTTCTATTCTCGTCTACTCTGAGAACTGAGAAAAGCCAAGGTAGTTGCTTAGTTAATTACTTGTTGAATGAAAGTATAAACTAATTATGTCCTAGACATTGTGGAGGCATGTAAATAGACTGTTTACTCAGGGGGACCACTCCTAGGTGGCCTGAGGTGAGTTGGCAGTTTGCAGCAATCTCTTCATGACCTCAATGTGCCCAGAACTATGCACATTTTTTTTTTTTGAGGGGTGAGCATTGGTTAGTTTTCCTTTGAAAAGAGGACAATGACAACATGGAAACCAATCAGACTAGTCCCCCAGTGTACCCTAGTTTCTTCAGACATCAAATAGTTATACTCAGACTTGACCAGATTCTGCTGAATGAAATAGAGAATTTAGAATAGGAAATTTAAAAATTTAATTGTGTGTGTGTGTGTGTGTGTGTGTGTGTGTGTGTGTGTGTGTGTAAGGTGTATATATATATATATCACTTCATTTTCTGTTTTCTGCTTTCTCGAGCAATCTACTTTACAGAGATTATGTTTAGTTTATTTTTCTATCCTTCTCTACTCTAAACACTGAAAATGGCCAAGATACGTGCTCAATTAACTACCTGTTGAATGAAAGCATAAATTGACTATGTCCCAGGCATTGTGGAGGTATATAAAAGACAGGAGGACACGTGATGTCTTTTAAAAGTTCATACTTTATATTGACTCTCTATGTAGCAAACTCTTGAATTTTGAAATAAATTCATTAAGATTCAATTACATTTTCTAGCAATTGTTGCTATGTCAAATATTAGTCTAGGTTCATTTTCATATGCTTTCTTTTAAATTCAACATCTCTGAAGGGGGAATGATAACCCCCATTTACAGATAACCAAAAATATCAGCTTAGACTGGTAAAAATATGACTTATCATAAGTTGCAAAGCCATTAAACATCAGATCAGGATTCATTAAATTGATATTAATTGATCATCATTAACTAAATATGTATTCATTTAGTACTTGCTGCATGCTGGGTCTTGTGGGGACTATATGGGAGAATAAGATATAATCATTACTCTCAAGGGGCTCACAGTCTATTGAGAGGGATGTACACTTAAGTGAAAAGCAATATCACGTAGCAAATACTCCAATAGGCTTATTGCTACTGCCCAAAGATTCCGTGTGGACATATTGTGTTTTCACAGAAATATATAGTGCTCTACATGTCCTCTACACTTCAGATACAAAAGTGGCAATGATGCTCAAAATCACAAATATCCAATAAGTTAAGTCATCGCCAAAGAATTTTAATAATAAGAGTATAGGCTTCGGATTTAAGTTTTCTTACAACTAATTGGCAGCACACACATGCCATGGAGAAATGGACAGAAAGCTACTTTTTCTCACTCCATCAGATTTCAATCAAAGAGCAGGCTGGCAGGAAAATCTAGGACTTCTTGAAGGAGAGGACTGGAGAGAGAGGCGTGTCCTTGTAGAACAAGAAAAGCCCCACCCACAACCCAGTTCCCTGTCTCTGATAGATTGAGTTCCACCCTGTAAATATCCTCAGTCCTTTCTTTGACCCTTTGTGACTGAACACACTCTTAGTCTACTCAGTGAGGCGAGACTTACACTGAGTGGGGTGACAGCACAGGGATATCTTCCTGTTTGGCTTCATCTGAGCTAACCGTACCTCCACTGGCCACTGTCTGTGGTCTGAGCCTCTTTGTCCAAGAAGAGAAAGAAGAGCGTTGAGGACAGGCCACATCCTAGTCAGGTAAGGCCGGTGGCTTGTCATCATTTCTGCGAAGAGATGGGGTCTCTCTCTATAAGTTGATTGCCCCTGTCTCCTTGCCTGCATTTTTGGCTATCCTCACCACAGCCTTGCACTTCCACCCAGGCTCACAGTTTTCAGTGACCAAATGACAGTCCTTCACTCTTTCTTACTGCTCAGAGTTGATGAGATTTGTAGACCAGCATTTTCCAGCCTATTCAGTCACTTGACCTACTTATCTATATATTGATTTTGATCTTAACTGCTCTATAAGAGCAGTAGGATAGGTATAATTTTCTCTATTCAGTGACTTAGTGAACTGAAGCTTGGTGAATTGAAGTGATTTGCTCTAGTTTGATCAGCAGGCTGAGGCCAAGATTAGATTTGATTCCTCCTTCTCTCTCCCTCTGCTATACTACCCAGCAGGTCATACCTTATCTCCAAAAGCCAAGAGAAGTGAAAGGGCTGCTTGAACTGTCAAATGGCAAACAAAAGGTGTTATTTCCTTGCAGGTAGATTGGGAGGGATGTTTTTGAATTCATCTGAGAGAGATTTCATAATGATATATAAGCTCCATCAAATAGGGCTATTTTTAGAGAACAAATGAGAATATGTGTGTAAAGGGGCTTGTAAATTAAAAAGCGGTATGCAAATGTGAGATGGTGACTACACAGAGCCTGAAACAGGTTCTGGCTCTGTGTGTAAGAAAGCTTTCATTTGGGCTGAATGACACTCTCCTAATGTCAGCAGCAGCATTAGGAGGCATGGATCCCAAAGGCCCTGGGGAAATATTTAGACTTCAGTCTTACTGAGAAATGTGGAAAAGCAAATCTCAATAGGGGGAAAAAACACCCGCTAAATTCCTTCAAATTGACTCTTGCAATTTTCTTTCTTATGACAGCTATCATTATATCTTATTGTTCTACAGTTTTAAGAAAATCTCATCTTCAGTGATTGTGTAGTTTATTTTTTAAGATGCTAATTTTAGCTGTCTTTTTTTTTTTTACTTCATGCTCAAAATGTATCATTCGTAGTTGTTGAAAGAAATATTTCCTCTGTGTGTGTGTGTGTCTGTTTGTGTTTGTGTTTGAATTTGTTATGACAGTTCTAATATTCATCCCATGGATTGAAATGCTATACAATCTTTGGCAGACTTCTGTATATTCTTAGTGTCTCTCTAACTGTAAAAGTCTTAAAGAAATCATGTACTCAATTACTTTATTTAAAATAGAGAAACTAAAGCCCAGAAAGATGGCATAATGTGCACAAGGCTACCAGCCAGTGATCATTGAAACTGTAAGTCAAACACAGGTCAGTGACTTTTTCACTGCCCCAACAAGGAATAAATGGCATGGACATCCTTAAACAGAAGCATTAGCTGTGTCATTTTAGGGTCATACACAATATATTTTAAAATTCCTTTCAATTAATAGTTTTGGGGCATTTTAACCTTTTCTTAGCATCCAGTGAAAATATCATACCCGTAGAGTAAGGGAGTTTTTCATAGAAGCGTCTTTTCTTATTAACTTGTTTCTTATGGAATATTTGTCTCAGCCAAATTTTGGAGCTGCGTAAGCAGTGGTAGGGTCTTTATTTTATTCAGCCAATCTGAATCTTCCTTTGTATCTTCTAGGATCCTTCTAAAGAGATGTCATTCAGTCAGAACTTGTAATTCTAGTTGTACTTTTGTTCAGAATTGTAGACTCTAATGGCAGGATTGACCTTGAGCGTTTCTTTGATCCAGGGGCTGCACACCAGCAGCACATGTGAGTCCAGCATGTAGATGTCTTTTGTTTGTGCTGCAGTGTTAAACAAAATTAAACTAGCTGAGGATATTTAACATTTAGGAAATTTCTTGTTAAAATTTAGATATCTTGTGTTTCAGGAAGATCAGAAGATCTGGTAATAGTGGATCCACGTTTCCACATGGAAAACACATAGGCTAGGTCTACATAGCATATGATCCCTGTAGATGGAGCAATTCTCTGCAGTCCCTATAGAATCTGATTTAGGCTACCAGTTATTTGAGTGTGTCAATACCAATCTCTACCAATCTCTTATGTGTTCAAATCATTCTCTTTCAAGGGTAACCTAGTTCTACATAATGCTAGGTCAGGCCACAGATCAATGACATCAGGGAAGAGGTGAAATTAATTATTTGGCCTTAACCTCCCATTATTTAAGTGGTAGGAGGAGAAAATAATGACTTCATCAGAATATGCCATTGATCTTGATACCTGTTCAGGATCTTAAGCCAGATACTGAGTCTGAGTGACTTGAAAGCTAAAGTATTAAGCAAGCTGGCACAGCTCTAGTGTAATTGCTGGGTGCCCACAAGAGAAAGAGAAAGAAAAGTGACAAGTTCAGGCTCATACTTTTTACTCAAGATGTCAATGACATAAAAATAAGAAAAAAAATATGATGTGTGATAGCAACGTGGATAGCGACACAATGCTCTGAATTCTCAAAGAATACAGGACAAATTGCTGAAATCCTTAAAGCTAGCCCAATGATGTATTTTCTATAATCCATTCATTAATAAAATAATCACCTCTTGATCACTTACGGTGTCCACCACCCTAAGCTTGAGGATTTAGGGATGACAATCAGTGACTGTTCCCTAAAAGAGCTTACCAGGATTGAAAATTTGTACACAAATAACTACAACACAGGAAAAAAATATGATAAATCCTGAAAGAAGAAGAAAGCAAATGGTTTTATCTGGGTGTGTTGCCATCAGGGATGGCTGTAAGAATAAAATGGCATTTGATTTGGGCTTTGGACAGATAGAGGTGAGAACAGTTTCCAGCAAAAGAATTTAAGCAAACTCATAAGTTAGTACTGTCTGAAGTGTTCTGCGGGGATAGAGAGAATTCTCTATGACTGTATATAGGGCCAGTGGAACTAAAGGGTGATTGGGGCTGAAAATTTGAGTCTGCACCAGATTCTGAGTATTGAGTGGTAGGTTAGGGGCTTTGGATCAGGCACAATATGGTGGATTTGAGGAGCAGCACAACTACTGACCAGACATTTTGTCCAAACTCATGGCTACCCAAGTCTATAATTTGGCAGTGACAGAACATCTGCGTAGGCATCACTTTAAGTTTTTAAAAAACATTAAAAAGAACAAAACAGAATTGAGCACTTCTAAACTTCTAAGCACAGTGGACAGTACCAGATGCTTAGTGAGGGAGGCAAGGGGATAATATACAGTAGAATTAGAAAGATGGATGAAAATATTTTTCAAATACATTGAGCAAACGTGTGAGAAATATTTTTGAAAAAATATGGTTAAGACAGTTTTTTCTTTAAAAAAAAAATCAGATCTATTCCTTTGGATAGAAAAATGATGTTGTATAAGTTCTTAACTTGTAGGATGCGGAGGGTTATTTTTAGATGATAAGCTTTGTCCTTTGGTCTGAGAAGCAGTCATTCTCTAAGGAATAGTTATAGATGGTCCTTGCCCTAAACTATTCCATAATAAACACTGCTAGAGAATTCTACAAAATGTAAATATGCGAATGTTCCACTGTGCTTTATAGAATTCTTTATGGGTTGAGGGGAAGGTTCTGGTCTTGTGAAGGGCTGCACCTGTCACCAGGACAATGTTTCATACATACACCAAGGTATTTGTGTAATTAACCAAACTTTTCTCATTTTCATGCTCATGGTTGTGTGAGAGATTGGTTCAGAATTATACCTGTATCTCAAAGGTGTGCTCTCGTAGGGAAGTAGATAGGTGATGTGGCACAGAGTAAAATAAAATATTTGAGCAAGAGTCACTCATTTACAATTGTTCAATACAAACATCTCTTCAAGTTTCAATCATTCAAAACTATTTATTGAACATTTATTCTAAGGTTTGGAAAAACAGCATCAGTGAACAAAAAGAAATAATCTCTGCCCTCAAGTAGTTTACATTTTGGATGATACAGGTGAGAAATAAATAAAAACAATCAGTAAAATGTGTAGCATATGAGACATAGAGAAAATAGAACAGGGAAGGGAATCAGAAGTCTTGGAGAGTTGAAATTTTGGAGAGAGTGCTTAGAGAGAAATACATTGTTATTTGATTAAGGAACCTACTAATACAAGGGTAGGACCATGTAAATAACTGGAGAAACAGCATTCCAGTTAGCTGGAACAGCAGGTACAAAGGTCTTGAGGCAGGAGCATGGCTTCTTGGCACCTTTAAAGAATAAGACATAGATTGAATTGAGTGGAAAATCTTTGGAAATGAAGTTAGAAAGATGATGGTGGAGTGGTGGTGGGGGAAGCAACAATGCAAGGCCCTGTTAAGACTTTGATCTTCACTATGAGTAAAATGGGAGCCATTTGTAGACTTTGGTCAAAGGAATGCCATGGTCTGACTTACATATAAAAGAGATTCCTCTGTCTGTGTGTTGAGAATAATGAAGGTGGAGTGGGGAGCAGGCAGGCAGAAGCAGGGACATTCATTAGACTCATTGCTGTAATCCAGATGAGTGAAATGGAAGCTTGGACAAGCAGGTCGTGGTGGAAGTGATGACAAGTGTTTGGATCTTGTGGTGGATCGATTTAAGGGGGAAGACAGGAAGCAGCCAAGGATGACTCTCAGATTTTTATTAAGTAACTGGTAGAAAGGAGTGGCCTTTACATGAGATGGAGAAGACTGTGAGAGAAACGAGTTTCAAAGGATTAGTGGGAGCTTGCTTTTGGACAGGTTAAGTTGGAGATGTCAAGCAGTAAGTTACTACACGAATCTGGGATTCGATGAAGATGTCTCAACTGAAGCTAAAAAGTGAGAGTCATCAAAATACCTGATATTTATAGCAATGAAATTAAATGAGATCAAGAAGTTAGTGTAGACAGAAAAGATGAGAGTTTTAATGGCTGACTTGGGGTGCTGTAAGGTTTTGGGTTGGAGAGGTGAGGAAAATCTAGTTGATAGTGCACCAAAGGGGAAAAGTCATGGCAGTTCCATGCCAGTAGAGAAGAGAGTTTTATCACTGAAATTGTTTAGA